AATATTCAGAGACAGACGCTCTGACTGAAAGAAGAGACAGAGACCCAGAGAAAGGGAAGGACAAAGACCCAGAAACAAAGGGGAACAGAGACCCAGAGAGGAGACAGAGACCCAGAGAGATAGAAAGAGACAGAGCACCCAACAGAGAGGTGGAGGTGCTGGCTGCATCCCCTCCCAGCACAGCCCTGGGCGCACTTACTTCAGCTTGCAGTGGGCCGCCGTGAGTACCCAGCGATCCCCGACCAGCACGCCCCCGCAGTGCAGCTGGTTGCCCTTGAGCAGAGCCACCTGCCATGGGTGGGAGCTTCTTGGACATGGAACACCATCAATAATCTTCTCCCCACTCTTGTCACCCTGGGCTGCATGAAGACATGAAAGAACATAAGGCAGGGGGAGGGGGGACGGGGACGGGGGGAGCTGTGTGGGAGGAAAGCTAAGGCCACAGCCCAGGGATTCCAGAGATGGAGAGAGTTGGAGACTCATGAAGAAATGCAGAGAAAGTGAGAGGTGGGGATGGAGAGAGACAAAGGGAGCCCAAGAGGAGCATCTCACCCTGGGCAACCACAGAAGCCTAGAGAAAGACAGAGCCTGGAGGGGACAGAGACCCTGGGAAGAGGGCCACAACCAGCCAGAAGAGGGGCTATGGCACAACAGTCTGGTCTTCTGGGGGAGGAGGCTTTTTGAGGAGAGAGAGGCCTTTACTTAGGGACTCCTTAGAGAGGGTCAGTGAGGACACTGGGAGGCCCTCACCTTCTTGCCCAGCAGTTCCCAGAGCTAAGGACAGCAGGAGCATCTGCAGGGGCAGGAGAAGGGATCCCACCATGGTGCCTTACTAAGCCCTTCAGAGCTGCCAGGCAAGGGAGCTTCCTTCTGCTGGGGCTGGAAAGAGAGAGTCTGGAGTCAAGAATCAGAGCCCCCAGCCACTCCTTCCTCAGACCCAGGGGTCCAGTTCCTCAGCTCTCTCTCCCCTCCTCAGGGAATCAGAAATCCAGGTTCCATCCCTCTCCTCCCAGGCAACCCAAACTTCCTAATCCTCACTTCATTTTCCCCTAAGAAGCTGAAGTGGCCTTTCCCATCGTCTCCGAAGAAGGAATCAGCTGCCGGCCAGCATCATCCCACCCCAGCCCCGCTCCCAGCACACTTGGGAAAGGGCCCTGCTCACCTTGGCAGGGGCTGATCTGATCTCGGCTTGCACTCGGGCACTCGGGCACTCGGGCACTTGGACTCTCAAGCTGGGTTGGGTCCGGCACTGCATCTGCAGCCCTCTGCGGGCGGTCCTCTTATACCACCCCCGCCCCCACGCCCGCCCCCGGTGCCCTGGGGTGCAGGTGGAGCCAACTATGGGACACCCTCTTCCTGCGTTTGCGGTAATGGTTATCTGGAACCCCTGAGGCAGCAGAAGCATTTGGCACCAGTGTACTCTCTCTCTCCCCGCCCTGGCTCCGAAGGTCGGGCGGCACCGGCCACTTCACCCCCGCACATTCTGGCCTCACGGTCCCTCCAGTCTGCTCACCAGGGAGGATCCGGGCCGGCTGACTTGGAGGGGCAGGATCTGGACTCGAAGCGGGCAGTGCTCAGGGCACAGACGCTGGCCTGGGTCCTCTTCTGGAGCCATATTCTTGTCCTCATCCACTGGGGTGGGGGCCTGGACGCCTCCCTGCACCCTAATTCTCACCAGCCTGTGGAAACCTGTCTCAGCTGTGCCTTTGAGCCTGAATTCTCTCTCAGCCCTTGTATAGAGGGGTAGATTAAAAAGACACCGGCTTCCCTAACTCCACACCACTGAATGCTCACTGTTATCGATTTAGTCACATTTGATATTGTATTTTATATTAAAAACATATGGGTATGTTCTCATTCAATTTAAATCATACATGTTTCTCAAGTTATATATTTGTAACAAGAATGTCTGTACTAAACATTATCTAATACAAATTGTGTTTTTACTCTATAAAATATCTTGGAAAAACTCCCCTTCCACCCCCAAATAGAGAGACATAGTCAAAGGGTTCAACATATCAAATATGTAGGATGAATAACTGGAAAGATCTAATGTACGGCAGGACTGTGGGTAATAATGATGTATTGTTTTCAGGATTTCTGCTGAGAAGATTATAGTTATTCTTCTCATAGGGGAGGAAAGTAGGTAACTCTGTGAGATGATGAATGTGTTAATTTATGACACTAGAGGAACCATTTTACTATGTATATGCATCATATAACATCACACTGAATAACTGAATTATACACAATAAAAATTATTTTTTTAATTTTTTTATTTTTTGCAGTTTTTGGCTGGGGCTGGGTTTGAACCCGACACCTCTGGCATATGGAGCTGGCGCCCTACTCCTTTGAGCCACAGACGCTGCCCATAAAATGTATTTTTAAAAAGAAAAAGAAGGCTCGGCGCCTGTGGCTCAAGTGGTTAAGGTGGCAGCCACATACACCTAAGGTGGCAGGTTTGAATCCAGCCCGGGCCCACCAAACAACAGTGATGGCTGCAACCAAAAAATAGCCTGGCGTTGTGGCGGGCACCTGTGGTCCCAGCTACTTGGGAGGCTGAGGCAGGAGACTCG